TATATATATATATATAGGGAAATATATATCTTACATGTGTACAATCGCATCTATATATTTAATCATTTATACATACATACACATACATCACTGGGTGTGCAAAAATCACTACCTGACGCAACACCTGGATGGCTAGCCACAATATGCTCTACGATGAAAATGAAATTTCGCATATTTTCATGTACGACTTGATCTGTGGATAACTCACGTCAACGATAGCTATAAAGAAGTATGATCGTGCACTCAACACAAATAGGATGAAAGCGTACATTTTATACAAATAGGATCAAAACGTACACTTTTTGTATATCCCATATACGATAGATATGGCCAAAAGGAATTTGTTGATAACACAACTCTATACCTGTAGTAGAATCTCAGCTCCGAGTTGGCTCTACAAACTCCAAGAACATATTTTAACACCCAACGCTATAAGCATGTCCAGACATACAATGAGAAAAGAAAAATTCCATGGGACTCTTCTATTTTTATATTTTTAGACTTCCAACAGCGAACGAATGGGATGTCCTTGTGTTTGGCGATACTCACCGCTGATGATGGATCTGAACACGCCATCATACACCCACGTGCTCATATGCGATTAGGTTTCTTTCTGCCTTGGTGTGACACCACACAAGACGAGATTAAACCGACCAACAACAGTACCATGTGGTCGTACACTACACGACGCACACACTCATACAACTCTGGCCCTTCCCATACCAGTAACTGGCGATCAGAGGGTGGCTCCGTACATACTTATATCGACGCCTTGACACATCTCTGCCTGCATACCTCCAGTAGCAGTACTTGACATCGAAGGCCATGTCGTACCAGTAGTTAACGGCTATCACCGGATCTCCGTTTGTACTGGATTGGCTCACCTGTATTGGTAAAAGTGTGTGCGCGCGGGGGTAATCAGGTGTGTGTGTGTGTGTGTGCGGGACGCAGTTGGACAAGAAACAATCAGCGTTGCGGTGATATTATACGGTTATATAAATATTTTACGTCTATATCTACATATTTGGCATATCTACATTGTGGCTTATTTCCTTTTCGCTCTCGGTGTGTTCGGCTCTTGCTACACCAGCGAGTTTCCTATGTGAGTCCTTAGGTTCGCAAACCCGAACATCGGCTAAAAATCAATATAGATATGTCTGAAAGTCCCACATCGGTTTACTAAGAAGTCTGGTTTTAGAGTTTATCTAAACCGCTACAGGACACCTTGGTCTACGGCATTACTACACAAAAGTATGCTGGCGTGGGTGGCAGTTCTTCAGCAATACTAGCCTAAATACTACTCTACCCTCAAGTAGATACGAGTTTAGACAAGCGTAACCAGCGCAAACATGATTCTAAACCAGGTTTATCGATGGCACAAAGATAAACTAAAACTTGGTACACACGTATATATACAATACCTGATGATACCACATAGCAGGCAGGTACAGCATCTCCCCTGGTTTCACAGTACACCTCACAGGCGTCGCCAGCTTAAACTTGGGGAACTTCTGCAGGTCGGGCTTATCCGTGTCCACCGGAATCCACGGCACCTTGTCTGTGTCGGTCTGTGGTTGCACGGACCATGTATGCGTGTCTGTATGCTTGCTGTAGATGGCTGGTGGGAACTCTTGTGTGTGTAGGTACGGCACATCAGTAGGAGGTAGCAGTGTGAAGTGCTTCTCACCCTGGATGACTACGTAGAGGTTCTCATAGTGGTCTTTGTGCAGCGATGACGTGGAGAGATGTGTGCCTATCCATAGGTTAACCGCATCTGGCTTCTGCCCTGGTATACAAAATATGAAATATGAGCGAGAATCAGAATCAGAAGCATATATATATATATATATATATATTCATATACATATACATATACACACACACATATATATATACATATACATACATACACATACACACACACACACACACACATATATATATGTATATATATATATATATATATATATACAAACATGCAGATATACATGAATACATACGCACATATATACATATATACATCGATCCATCCATCGATCCATACATACATACATACATACATACATACATCATACATAAAATATATGTAGAGTATGGGTGGATCGGAGAGATCTCTTTTGAGCGTGAGAGGTAATTGCATCCGGCTGGACGGAGTTTAGCGTGAAAACACGAGCCAATTCTGGAGGACAATGTGACAACACATATCTTAACACCGATGTATGCATGATAGTATTGATGCATATTCACAAGTACGCGATATTTAAAGCCATCAAGTGGTTCTTTAAAGCCCAAAATAGGGCCGATAAACCGCGAATAATAATAAAAAATGCCTATAACTTCGCCACGCTTTCAAGTTTGATATGTACAAAACACGTCTGTTAAATACAGCCAGATTGTTATGTACAAGACACGTCTGCTAGATACAGCCAGATTGTTACGTACAAAACACGTCTGTTAAATACAGTCAGATTGTTATGTACAAATCACGTCTGTTGAATACAGCCAGATTGTTATGTACAAATCACGTCTGTTGAATACAGCCAGATTGTTATGTACAAAACACGTCTGCTAGATACAGCGAGATTGCGTGGACATTCCTCATAGCTTACCGAAGGCCTCGCTGGCGAATGGTAGTTCTTCCTCGACATCCTTGGCTAGAGCTTCGAACTCTGTTGCTAGGTTACCGTTTTGCGTTTGCACATAGAGGATGTCATCAGTCGACTCTTCTGAGCTGAGATTGGTCGAAGCCGACTGTTTTCATAAAAGAGAACGAAAAAAGAAAAGAGAAGAAAAAAAAATCTATTAGCCTTATTAGGGTTTAGTGACAGTACTAATTAACCGTTGGTGACTGTGAGGGTGTGCCGGGAGTGTTCACATGTGAGTAAAAAAATGCTCAGCGAATGCATATACACCTCTGGCATGAGCAGCCTATACACATGCACACGTTGTGTACTGGGAAGATATTACGTCAGAAGCTGACTATCATCCGAGAAGTACATCTCCAGCACAGAAAACCCCAGTGACTTCGGCCCAAAGTGTATAAATCATGCGCTGCGGCGGATAGCTACTAGAGCGATCAGTACGACTAAACAGTGCACAAATGCCCCCTAAATAGAAACCACAGGGACTATAAATAGTAACCGCAGGGACTATAAATAGAAACCGCAGGGACTATAAATAGAAACCGCAGGGACTATAAATAGAAACCACAGGGACTATAAATAGAAACCGCAGGGACTATAAATAGAAACCGCAGGGACTATAAATTGAAACCGCAGAGACTATAATCAGAAACCACAGGGACTATACAAAGAAACCAAAGGAACTATAAATAGAAACCGCAGGGCTATACCCAAGCCTTCCTGGTCATGCTCGGAGACTCCAAATCTCACATTGACCAGCGTCTACGCACATTGACGACGACTATCGATGGACTATAAATAGAACCACAAACGTTGTGGTTGTATGGCAATGGTGTACTGCATAACATAACAGCTAGTGAGTACGCAACACGAAGACCAATGACCAACGACCAATCCGATGTGGATCAAGCCCATCGGCACAACCAATGGGGCAGTCATGGTGCATTCGCCAGTAATGGGTAGTTACCATTGGACTCAGGTACTTATCTAACTCCGAGGCATGCCCAAATTTGGATCACCACGCAACAGGTACAGTTATATTCTGAATTGTCTCAGTCGAAAAACAATCGTGCAACGATAAAACCCACCGACGAGCCTGTCGCATGCGGCTCAGTATACCCTGTGCGGTCAATAACCCCTACACCCCAAACAAGACCCTAAACCCAGAATACTATAACCTTTCAACGACAAGAAAAATAAACGAACTCTCTTTAACGCTTAAACCCCGAACACAACCCAAAACCCTGCCCCTAAAACCTTGCAAAGACAAGAACAATGGACGAGCCTGTCGCATGTGGCTCAGGACACTGTGCGTCATTGACCTCTACACCCCGTACCAAACCCTGAACACTGAGCCCTGGTAACCTTGCAAGGACAACAACAATGGACGTGCCTGTCGCATGTGACTCAGAGCATTCTGCACAGTCATGGCGCGTTCTTCTGGCATGACAAAGTACTCCACATTGTCCTCCTCGCGCGTGTGCACGGCGTCAGCTCTACCGCACGGGGTAGCTGCGACCGTTACACTAGTTTCTCGTCCAATGGTATCACACAGGTAGTCGTCATCGCCCCATTTGCGCATAGCGGGCCAATCATCTACTATTGTATATATAGATTGTGCATATCGATAATGTTGACATGTGTATGCTCGTGGGTAATATACGTGTACATATACGTAAATATAAACAATATATATATATATATATATATATATATTAATATATATACATGTATTTATATATATATATATATATATATATATATATATATATATATTATATATATAGTATATTATTATTATTATTATTATAACTAATATATATAATAG